TGCTAGCGCGGTCAATTGGCCAGAAACGTGGAATAATGGACAAATCCTCCACTTGCTCTCCTTTAGGGATGAAATCCCTGACCATGAGATCTCCGTTACCGCTGGCCGCCAACAAGGTGGTACGATGCTTCTGCTGCACTTTGAGGAGGCATTGATGAACGACATCGTGTTTGTCCTTTGCATGCTCTTGCGCAACTCTGTAACCATAAATGGCCGCGTGCCCCCAAATAGGATCAGCACAGACATCCTTCAGCATTGCCTTGAATTTGCTCAAGGGGTTGTCATAGAAGGACTGGAAGATGTCTTTGGCTGTCAGTCGTGCGTCACATTCCAAGACCAATTCACACACTGCAGCCAACGTAAGAGTGATGGAAGGAGTCGGCAGCGAAAACTGGACATCGGGAGTGACAACAAGCAAATGCACCTGTCGCTTATATTCTTGGTTCAACGCAGGATCAAAGACAATCACTTCAAAGGGCCCAGACAAGTTGGGCAGTTTGGCCAGCGAATCGGTTGGATCTATAAGCGGCAAAAGGAGGGCGCAAGCCTCTTTGGGTTTCACTTCCATGATCTGCTGGATGTTGCGTTTGGAAACAAAGGCGATACCACCTCGATTGGTGGACAGTTGCTGCTTCTGCGCAAAGGGCACTGGTGTCTTGTCCTTTGCAACAAAGGGATGATCCGATTGCAGCTGTAGGTCCTCCCACTTGCTCTGCTTGGCTTGCTTTTTCTTGGACTTCCACGGGTCATCAAATTGCCACGGATCAACAGCCTGCATTGCAGTATCGGCTTGGGGCAAGGCTTCCATACCACCAAGGGAGATAGCAGAACAGGTTTGCATCACCTGCAAACCTCCAACCAGCAGGAAGGTCCGGCGGACATTCTCAGCAAAGGTCCTCAACATTGGTGACGCACCAGCGACCCTCCAGGCAATGTCTGATTCACCAAGGATGAGATCAACCACCTGCCTTTTTTGTTGCGGGACATGAAAGTCAGCTGGAACTGTGAGGTCTGCAACAACCCATCGATGAAGGAGCTCCCAGCCGCACATCCCAGGTCTCGTCCTGGTGGTATCAACAATGATGATAGGTCGGAACCCAAAAGGAACAACAAAGTCATTGGCAAAGTCAGTCCAGAATTGTTGGTCACGGACAGGAACTTGCAGAAAGACAACTCTACAAGTGTGTTCCCTCGCATTGCAGACGACTTCAATACCGACCCAATGCCCTTGGCGAAGAGCGACAAATCGTTGAACTTCATCGGACATAGGTTTGACTCCAGCAGCAATGACTGACAAATCATGATGCAGGACTGGAGGGCAGAAGGACTCTGGCATGAAGAACCCAGGGTGGGTGCGGTAGATGTTGGCCCGCATGTCCAGCCATTCATCAGCAACAAAGAAGATCTCATTGATGTTGTAAACATGCATTGGTCTCCCAGTCGATCGAAGGGTCAAGTCAGCAGCCCTGCTGGGGGATTCCATGATAGCAACCAAAAAGGCATTGCGACTGGCACGAGCAAATTGCAGCATGCGGTCATCTGTTTGAGTATCACGCCAAATGAAGTCAGCCTGGTCAATGGCCTGCATGACATGCTCACAATACTGGGCCCTCTGCAGTCTTTGTGTAGTCCGATGTGTTGCAGGAAGCAAAGGGGCACCTGCTCGGGCATAAAAGGTCCTGAGTGTGTACCACGGCGCAAGTTCCGAGTCCTCAGCAGTACGGATCCACCTGAAGTTGTTGGGGGGAACTTGAATTCCCATGACATTGATCAATTCCAACACTGCAGTGCGTTGCCGCTGGGTCAACTGTTCAGAAGAATGGTACAGGATCCTCCACTGGCCTTCAAAGAAGCGGACTTCGACAAAGATCCAATCGTAGACCACAAGGATCGGAACCATAAAATGTTGGGAGCAGAGCTGTAGGTCCGCTGGTTCAACAGGAAAGCGGAACTGGGCTTCATTGCTAACCCAAAGCGCAGGTGGGCACCAGCAGATTGTTGGCATCAAAATCTGTAAGATATCGCAATGAAAGAGCATTTCGTCGATGGCAAGGGCTCCAGGTTCCAAGTTGAGCTGCAGCAGCCTTGCCATGATTGGGTCTTCAAGGACATTGCAACTTGGATTTGTCGTGAGACGATCCATACCTCCAAGAACAACGGGTGCAGCACCCCCTGGTCGATCATCACCCCACAGCACATCTCCATTGATGAGCATGAGTGGCTGGTCCAGGCAACAGGGCACCGAGTTCCTGATAGAGATATTACATTGCTGCTGCAAAAGTGACGCACACTGCCGAGGAGATGCAGTACGCGGAACTTGACAAATTTTCAGCCACTTGGCATCACGACCACCACCCAGGATCACCCACTTGGCAGGGCAGACAGGTTCGTAAACCCCTTGAATACCCATCACCACTGGAAACCCAATGAGGGTTCTGCACGCTTCAGAGTTGGCTTTGATGAAATACATCGACCCTTCTTGATGCCGAAATCCAGGAATACTCCCAAGACGATCAACATTTGCCTGCTGAATCCAGTAAAAGGTGCCATCTTGTAGCAACAAAAGGATCTTTGCAATGGAGCGAGGCGTCTCATCCTGGCAAATGTACTCTGCAACATGGAAGAACCCAGCTTTGGCTGCATCGACTATACCATCGAATTCAGGATCATGTTCATGCTCACACCAAGGTTGGGTTGGTGATAGGATTGGATCGTCCGCAGCTAGAGCAGGGCCAAGATGAGTGATCTGCAGCGTGCCAATCTGGAAGGTGCCACACTTCAACATCAACGCGCCAGCAGGAAGTTGAGTGCTAACACATGCTGTAGGAACAACCGACCCGTCATGCACCAGCTTGATCAAGTTCAGAAGATGACCATCAAGTTCCAGCGCTCTGAGCAGGGCCAGGATGACAGCTTCATCAGCCAGTTGGTCAATCGGTACCAGCGTCGTGTCATCACAGAACCTGATCAAAGTGCTTCCAGCCAGCCAAGGTTGCCAAGTGGCAACACTGGGGATGGCCTTTGCCACAAAATCCGCAATTGGCTGCAGGACATACATTCCATTGCAACAACGAACCACGGCATTCTCGTTTGTGAGCCGATCATTCCAGCATTGCTGAATGAGAGCCAGCTTAGGAATAGCTTCTCCAGAGACTCCTTCCATTGCCACAAGAATGCCAGCCAAGGCATGAAGCTGAGAAATGGCGTTCCCCAACTGATGAAAAGCCTTACGGAGGTCAACTGGCAAACCAAGCGTAGCAGTCGTGCCAAACAAGGAGGCAAAAAGGAAGGGGTCAACAAAACGAAACTCATCCTGCCAGCTCGTGAGGGTGGCAAAAATCCCTTTCGCTTGAACATGCTCAAACTGCAACAGGTGTTGTGCTGTGTACGAAGCACACAGGGTAGGCAGGTACTCACCGGTCGGGAGAACCCGTTGCATCAAAACCTGATGAGTGGAAGCCCCTTCAACAATTCTAGCTTTCTTACCAGGTGGAAGCAAATTTCTGTCCCCGTAAATCTGCATTTGGTCATCAGTCAATTTAAGGGCCGTGATTAGCGAAGAGGCAGTTCGAAAAAGTGCTTAGGATCATCCCATGGCAGCCTCCGAGGAGATGACAGCTGAAGGCGTTCACCGATCTTCTTGAACTCAACGTCACGTCGACACCAGACTGCCAACCACCTTGTTCGATAGTTGCTGGTGATCTGATGAATTGCCACGTCCTGAGACCAAACACGTCGAAAGCCTGCCAATTGCATAGCGGCCGAGATCACCCGCCAGTGAGGATGGTTCTCCAGACCGTCAGAACACTCATATATGGCAATGATTGGACGGACTCTGCAAAGGTGCTCAACCGAATCCAAAAAGCAGAAGCCTTCATCTGAAGCAAGTCCTGACTGTTTGCCTCCTCTGCTCCAGCTCGGGCAGGGCGGGGACAACGTCATCAGCAAATTGGATTCGTGAGCCGTGGCCCTCAACAATGTCACGTCGCTGACATCCGCCTGAATGCCATTGTAAGCGGACAGTGGATTGTAGTCGACAGGCACTGGAGCACGAAGCACCTCCTGGTGGTGAATGTAACTCCATGTCTTCATCACTTCGGGACACCAATCGACCGAGGTGTGTGAGGCAAACACGAATCCCAGGTGGCATTTTGAAGCCACCACATCGCTCGAAGCCAACCCTCATACGCACCAGCAAAAAGGTGTGACACCTGCCAGGCTAAGCTACGGTCATGCTTGGATATGTTCCAAACAGGAACTGCTGCATCAGCCAAAATGCGATGATCACTAAGGCGGTTGGCAGGAGGAGCCACAACACCCACCAGCATACCAGGCGAGAAATCAACTCTTGTGTGGGTCACCGGACATAGGATGTCAAAGGTTTCCCAAAGGCCTTCTTGAATCACCTCATCGGCCAAAAGCATCGAAGTGCGACGGAGATGAACACACATGGTCGGTTCATGATGAACATCACACACCTCTCCAAACAGCACCCAATCTTCTTCATTGCTTCTGCACAGTCCGGTCGTGGCAATGCTCTTCAAAGCCGCACTGACAGTCGAAGCCAGGGAGGAAGGCATGCCGAAGGTGGCCCACTGCAGTAAACTTTCAACAGCAATCGTTCCATGCTCTTGTCCTAGTTCCATCTTCTCCATGGCGTTCCGAGGCTTGGTGAAGCCCACGGTCTTTAGACGTGTCACCTCTGACCAAGTGGCCAGACAGCGACACCCCGGCCCACGCCGAAGAGGGCGTAAGCCAAAGGGCTTGAACCCAGATGGCTGGGGGAGTTTCCTTGAAGAAGCGTGAGCTCTCCTACGTCCAGTTTTTAGAAGCTAACTAGTCGCCCTTACTTAATTGAGCAGGCGCCTACTTAATGAAGTAAGGAGGCAGGACAGAGCAGGTAAAAACAACAAAAACATAATCAATAGATATTAATAGCGTATATTATATATAGTTAAAAAGAAAGTTCAGAGAACGGTGATGTTGACAAGACTCGACAGGCAACACTCATTACAGTGGACTTTGAGTGCCGTTCTCCTCTTGTGGCAGAAGGCACGAAAGAAACTGCCAAAAAAAAAGCAGGAAAAAGAAGAAGGCGTGTTAGGCATGTCTAGGCTTTAGATGTGTTCAGGCCCAAAAGGCAAGGCTCCAAAGGGAAATTTAGGACCCAAACCCAAACACATGTTTTCCTCCACAAGCATTTGACCGGAAGTGTGGAGCAGTGTACATGTCTTCAAAGACATACTAGTAGCTTCTTCTTGTCTTTGTTCAAATCCGAATTCGATTAAGGTGATTTGCTGCTTCGAGTTGAAGCACCACTTGGCCAGGTGCACAGCTTCCAAAATGATGTCTTGAAGCACTCACATGTTGGTTCGAAGCAGTACCTTACCTACTTTATGTAAGAAGAGCGATACCCGAGCCATTCGCTGGATGCACTATGATGCGCCTTGCTTCGATGAGGTATAGAGTTTGATCGGGGTTGCCTTGCAGCTCCCGATCCAGAATACTTGGTGGGGTGAGAAAGACGCAGATGTTGCACATTAGGAAGGTGACTTTTTCGATTTGGACATGCTGAAACATTTGGCGTGGAGCTCGCACGTACAATGCTGAGTCTTGCAGAATCCCAAAGACTCTTTCGTCCAGATTTGAGTCTTTGTGCACCTGTCAGCCGCTAGGGTTGCGCTGGTTTGGGCCGTGTGGCAGTGGCGCAGCGAAGAGAGGCGCTATCAACCCCAGCAGCTCAAAAGTACAATTTGAGCGAAGTACATTGACTTGAAGACAGAAAGATGAGGCAGGTGTTTCTTTCTCTGAGGCAAATCACGTTGGTTTCATGCAAAGCTCGTACTATTCTTCCCTTTATGTTGCCGCCATGTTTTTCACTTGTCAGCTCGCAATTGACTGACCGGAAGGTCAGCTTGCAGCCTGGACAACACTCGTTGTCTTTGCGTGCCATCAATCCTGTCCGGACTGTTGCAAAGAATTGGTGCCTCAAATGCAGAAAGACCTCAAAAGCAGTTTGTGCAATCGTGAGGAATTGAGCCTTCAAACTGCTTGCCTAAGCGGCAGTTTTGATGAGTCAAGTTTCTGTCCTCTGTGCGTTGGCTTTTCTGCCTAACCATTGGATTCCCTTTGCAGCTACCGCTACAATCATCATAAAGTATACGTAGATGTAGACAAGAGTTGTGCTGTCTTTGTCCCTACCTGTCAGGTGAGGGTTGTTAGATTTTATGTCAGCTCATGGCTCATGCCGTCCTTCTCCTCCTCCTCCTCCTCCTCCTCCTCCTCCTTGTCCTCCACATCGTCCTCAACCGCGAGCCTCAGCTGGCAGTGTTCCCCGCCGGACCTCAACCACGAAATGCAACACACAATCACAACCACAAAGACACGTTTACAGCACACAACCACAATCACAGCACACAACTCGAGGACCCACAAACAACGGCAAGAACCACAAAACTCACGACCATGGCAACATGCTCCTCACCATGGCATGAAGACAAATGATTGAAGTGTCACAGTGGGGATCACTCGAAGTAGAGTAATTGCGTTGTTTGGTGTGTGTGGTTTGTTTTTATTTATGGTCGTTTTGTGCGGTTCCGGCTCTCAGAGAGGTGGACCTTGGGGGCGTTCGTTGATGTCTCCATAGAGAGAGCTCGTGCCGGCGCAGTGGAAGATTTGAGGCGAGACGGGAAGGAGACGCTTGGAAGTTGCGAATCTTGCAAGTTCAGCGACTTTGGGGGCATACGGCTATGTTCTTGAAATTAGGTTGGAGCCATCGCTATTAGGGGTTGAAGGCCGCTGCTATTAGGTTGGAGGCCATTGCTATTAGGTGGGAGGCCATTGCTATTAGTATGGAGGCCATCGCTTGACATGATATTCACAGCGTTTCTTTTTGCATGTAAAAAGACGCGTTCCCATGATGTGACAAGATCCACAGGCAGCAAGGCCGCGGGGATGGCTACCAGCTAGACCAGCAGCTGCAGGAGCGGAAAAAACATTAGAAACCCTGAGACTGAGCCCTCCTATGTTAACACGTCAGAAACTGCAATTTCATTCTCAGTGTTGCAATGTCATTCTCAGTTTTGTTTGTCTTTTTTCTCTAGGGTTTTGAAGCTTTGAGAGCCTCTTCTGAAACCAGCATGAACATGTGAAGCCTGCAATTGCTTGCTGTGATGCTCGTGTCATGGCACTCACATTTGTGATAATTGAACACCTTGTTTCCAAGTGGGTTTTCTGCTTGGAAGAACAGCTAATCAGATGGGCATAGCATGACACTGGCAGGCAAGAGTTCGACCAAGTAGCCAACAATCAGGAGGCAGCTTCTTGGAAACTCCTCTTGCGCTTTGAGCCCAGCTAACTGAGTACAACCGCCTGTATCAGCCTTTTGCAGGCCCAATCAGCCTTTTCCTGTGGCTCAGGCGGGACAACTTTGGGATACTTACAGACTTATACTTAGAACATCATTTTTTCCAAAATGGAAATTCCTTTTCTTAGAACATCGAGCTTAGAACATCCAGTGCAAGCACACTTAGAACATGGACCGCAAGCACTCTTAGAACAAGAGAAAACAGCACACTTAGAACATAGAACATCTCAATGTCCAAAACACATTAAAAATATGTTCTAAGTACATGTGTTGGACTATGTTCTTAGTGTAGGTGGCACATACTCTTAGAACATCGCGATCTATACACTTAGAACTTCCCGCCTGTGAAAAACAAATGTGTTTTTGTTCAAAATATGTTCTAAGTGTATGTCTTACGGTATAAAGGAAAGGAACAAGGACGCTACTCCGGGCTCCTGGCCTTCAGAGACATTTGGGAAACTGTCCTGAGGCCCAAGTTCGAGGTTGAGGCTGGCGGTCATGTGGAACTTCACGCGGCGCAGGCAAGGGCAAGAGCGGCAAGAACTGAAGACCAACACGACTCTGAATCTGACTTGGGACGCGGGGAAGCTGCTGAAAGCTGGAGAAACTCAATTGATGGATGCCGTATTTAGGTTTTTTGATGAGAAAACCCAAGACGCCAGCCAGGGCTTTGAGATGTCCTGCCAGCCAGCCTTGGTGCTGCTGGCCGTGCCTCCAGGATTGATTGCAGTATGCATTCAACTTTCCGTATGCTCCCGCAATCTTCCTGGGCAGCAAACACAGCTTAACAAGCAAAAGCGATTACTGTTGAAGCTACATCGCCGGCTTTTGCAACCAAATGATTCGCTTCAGCGCCTCGCTAAAGATTGATGTTTAACTGCCGCGAGTCATACGCATTTTGCCAACAAAAAGGCACACCACCGTGTTTTGATTTTTAATTGGCAGTTGAAAAATTCAACGAAGGTCTCCTGCACTAAGCTCATCCCTTCAAAATCTTACAGCCCTAATTAACTGCAGCCAGCCCCACACCCACTGCCTGTGACTGCTCTTCCCAAAAAAGGCATCAGGTTCTGCACTGAAACTGACCTCTAAACCCACAGCCTAACTTGGCCACACAGATGATATGAAAAAGTACCGAGACTGCAAGATGGTTTCAATGCCACCTTTGATTCCGTTTGCACCTAACTCTCAAGCCCAGGCGCATCCTGGCCACATCAGCCTGACCTTTGGATTTCCCTCACGGTCGATATGCACATGTTATCATTATCAGAATCATAGAATTTCCGTTATCAAGCAAGTCGTTTGTCCGGTTTCAATGAAGACACGAATCCTCACTAGAGTGTGTTTCAAACTGGCAGGGAAATTCTGATTGCTGCTTCAGCCTTTAGGACGCTGCAAAGCCTACCATGTCACCTCTGGAGTGGAGTACACCGACGACCATGATGTCATCGACTTTGAGATTAGTCAGGCAGACTTTGTGCTCCAAAAACGGCTCAACAACGATCCGTACCAACCTGTGAAGTAGTGCCAGGGCTACTCTTTGTTGCCGGAGCACGAATACGAGCTGTCAGTTTCGTCCAGGCCAGATGAGAATGTCACATAATCCAGGTGGCATTTCATGTATTTTTATGTATTTTTATTAATACATGAATCATGTATTCCACACAAAGTGGTTGTGACATGTCGCCAGGAATCCTTTCGTTCCTGGCTCAAGCCGCCAGGGGCTCAGGTCGCCGGGGCGCCACTGCCGATGGTGTTCTACATAGTCTGATATCGATTTAGGATGATTTAGGTGGTTCTTACTATTAGGATCTATTAGGCTTGAGGCCGCTATTAGGTTCTGCCAGAAGAGTTTTCTCAGGCTGGGGGGTCCTCCTTCGTGATGAACTGCGGCAAGTGCTTGAAGCAAACATGGAGGTGTCTTAGAGAATGGAACCTGGTTGGATATGTGAAACAGGATGAAAAAAGAAGTCTAAGAGAGAAAAACATGGATGACCTGATCAAAGAGTCCAATTGTTCCATAGTTGTTCTATCGTTTCTGCCAGATCGACTCCTACACACTCACTGATTTCGGTTTCGAGCTCTTGTCGCTTCAGCCCAGTATTTCAGCCTGGATCTTGATTGAACCGATTTCGCCACTGAAGCTTACTTTGAATAGATACATTCCAAAGATACAAGTGTATATACATACTGTATACAGATACGAGCTACTTCAAGCTTCTTTTTGTAGTTTTCAGTTTCGCAGTCACTAATCGTGTGAGGCACCCAATGCCAGTAATGAGGTGCGACCTTCAGACCCGACAAGTCGTATAGTAGAAACAAGTGCCACGCTAGTAGAAACAAGTGCCTTACTAGTAGTAACAAGAAGCTATTAGAAACAAGTGCCTTACTAGTAGTAACAATGTTTTCATTTAATTAGAATTGTAATTACTAGCAAACATTGTTACTACCAGTAAGGCACTTGTTACTACTAGCGATGCACTTGTAATTACTAGCTTCTTGGAATCTACTAGGACCTTCAGACTCGACAAGTCGTATCAAGTCTCTCGACAAGTCGCTATTCGTCACATGTGTCATGTATGCTCCTAGTAGCGTCCGATCGCTCCTAGCAGCGATGCCCTTTGCTCCTAGTAGCGTCCTTGCTCCTAGTAGTCTGCGACTTGGTCTACACATGTGTCATGTATCTCCCAGGTACGACTCCAGCTTCGCTTTCAGCGTCAACTTGTGCTGACCTCTATCAGTGAGGTGCCCACTGTGCCCACCACTGTGCCTGCGACCTTCCCACAACAAAGTAGACGAAACCAGCAGTATGCGTAACATCCCAAATAGAATGTGCAAATCAGAAACTGGACGTCGCAGTGCTTTCGGCTCAATTGCGTTGGGCCACCGAAACCCTTCATACAACGTGGCTTGTCAGCAAGCTCCACTTCCTTGGTGAGAGGAATGCACGCGGGATCTTCAACCCCAGCCCTCTCAAGGCTGCTGTGGTAAATATACATGTTTCTACACTGGAGAGCAATGCTTGATAGGTTGAAATCTCAGATCCTGTTTGGAATTGATTCAAGATAGACAAATATGCACCCCCCAATTCTAAGAATTCATACAGTTGATGGAAAGACCCTGCACCTGTGGAAGAACCAAATACCCCCTATTTACTATATATTGGGTTAGACAGCAAACCTGCAGAAGAAAAAGTTGAAGGACCAAAATCCTGCATCAGCTATTTACGAGCTTTCAGGGGGCCTTCAATGATTCAATTTGGCTTGAGAGGAGACCCTACGCTAAAGCATACTCTGTACGCTGTATATATAATGTATACAATTATGCATGTTTGCATTTTTGAAGCTCAGAGGGGAAGAAAACGTCTCGGTAGAAGATTAGACATTCGAGCATACTTCAGTGATCTTCAGTGTATACAGTGGTTGAAAGCCGACCTAAGCCCAAGGTGCAGAATTCCTGCGGCTTGAAATTTCATTTTTTTCTGAGTTGGGTAGGTGCAGATTCTACGAAGCCTCAATTTGTTGACAAGTCCATGGACTTCACTGAAACTCAAAAAGGATTGAACATGATTGAGCAGCTTGCACACATGCCATGATTCTGCACCATTCTGCACCTTGGGCTTGCAGTCACTTCACATGCTAGAAGTTTCAATTGTTTGAAGGATTGGACTTGAAAAAACAGATAGATTCAAGCCTTTGCAGCGATTCTGCGCATGCCCCACTGAGTAGATTTATATGGTTTGAATGCTTGAATTTCTCAACTTTGTTTACAGCCCAAGTCAAGCTCATAGATGGATATCCAATAGAGGAGCTGCTTCAATATGATATAGATTACCTGAGCGAAACGAAAGATACGGGCAAGAAAAAAATGCGTGTCCATTGTGAAAGACTTAGAACATTAACATATTTTCATACAGGAAGGGATCTCTATATATACAATATACAAGAGGCTCCTGCAACGGAGAAGACCCTTGTAAACGGGGCATGATTGTGAAGATGTTGATTCGCAAAAACGGACCTGATACCAAGGACAAGACTCATATAGATAGTCAAGAAGAAAGTTGATACCGGAGGAAAAACCTCCCTGCATGAGAGGAAGAGGTATTGTTTTGAAAAAGGATGAATTCCTTACGAATGAGGAGCTTGTGTGATGAGATTATTTCAACACAAGGATGTTTTGACGAATAGGTCTTTCAAAAAAGTTAAGTTTATACGCAACAAGTATTGCCTCTGCAAGAACTCTTGCGAAGAACGCTCAAAAGGTACTGTACTTATAATACACCAGTATAGTATACGAACACACACACACACACGTGCAGTCTTTGTCAGTGCAAAACTCTGCAACTCTGGAGCACATCGAAGCAAGGCATGACTTGAAGTCTTCAGCTTCCTGCGAAGGTGCTGCTGTGGTGCCAAGCGAATCTGCATTGGTCAATCAGTTGAGTCTCTTTTAGTCTCTGAGCTAAGTAACTCTGTTGAGGGTTGATGACAAGATGCTTCTGCTGGTCCACAACTTACAATTTCTGCGATGATATTGTGCATTGACAAGCATTTTTACCAAAGCCAACAGAAAATGAGGTTGCTTGTCATCTCCTTGAGTCAATGTGCAGCCGTCTGACGCACAGTGAGATTTGAGAGTCAATGGAGTTACTCTTGAACCCCCACAATTCGGGAGATGTGTGACAGATCCATTTACAAAGTCTGTGTCTTGGCTTCTGTTTAAGGCTGACTGCAAGGCTCCAGACGTGCCCAAGGAGTGTGGGTTTTGTGGGAGACGTGCGGGCACAATTGATTTCTCAGTCAATTCTGGCGGTTGACTGGTCGGGCCAGGATTCTCTGGAGGAAGAGAGTGGTCACCTTAATCAAACCAATCAAAATTCAAAGCCCGGGGAAATGGGTCGTGGGGCTAGTGGCGTCGGAAATTGCTACGTAGGAGGCTAGCGCCAGTAGGTTGGAGGCCATCGCTAGTAGGTTGGAAGCTATTAGGTTGCAATGCCGTAGCTGTATTTTTCAAGATCTTCAGGTGATGACGTGGTGCTGTTGGCGATGCCCCAGCGGCCACGGCCAACACGCAAAGTGATCCCCAGGCCACTCGATGTTGCGAACTTTTGACTTGTTGGTCACAGCACAGCATCAAAGAACTAGGCAGCATCAGGCCTGACTGATGAGATCTGCCAGGAGCAGCGAGAGTGATGCCACATCTCTTTTCCAGGTGAGAGCAGTATCTTGAGCAAAAGGGAGATTTCGTGGAGGTTTTTGTTGATCAAATACACTGTATCTTTGTTTGGCTATGTGCTTTGTGACGCAACAGGGAGGTTTCCTGAGAGGGTTTAGGGATGCTCCGAGCCTGTTGAACTGAAGCAGCTGAAGGTTGATGAGGTGAGCAATCCCGCATGAGTCTCAGCTAGTTTGCCCGGAGCGCATGTGATTGGACTAGAAAAGCCAAGGTCGTAGTGAAAGAGGATGCTGATAACGTATTTCTGCTTGGACCCCAACTTCTTTGGGTCAACATGAGCTTTGCAGCTTTGCCTGTTTCTGCTTGTGAGGCCAAAGACCTGGTTGCTTGTGACATTGCTACTTGTCACCTTGCTTCTGAGCTTGCACCCTGGCCTGCAACGAGCTGGACATTTCAATCGTGCCATCTAGTGCACTTGAAACATCGCAGGTGTGCATTTCAGTGGAGCAAAGAGGCCGGGTGGGTCAGGTGACATCTTTTGCACCATGCGGAATGATTTAAGATTGTAGACGAATACACCAGAGCTGATCTGGATTTTAGACACCCCCAAATGCCGCTGAGACTTCAACTGTTGTGTGTTTCAGGATGGAAACCGCGAGCTTCGAACCTTGGCAGGGCCTCCAAAGCTTTTGTCTGTGATAGAAACTTGCAAGATTGAAAAGGGCTGAGCTAACAGTTCACATCGGTTCAAGCTGGTCCTTGTTTGGCCTTGACAAAGCTGGGGTTTGCCACCCTGTCCCTTGCAAAGCCAATCGGCACTGGAAAGCTCATAGGTTGGTCGACTTGCGCTGAAGTCAGCAGAGGCATGGGCAGATGGGAGAGAGCGACGAGAAGACATGATTTCAAAAAACAAGTCCTTCCACTTTGCCTCAAATATCCAGTCATAAGCTTCGTGTTCTGTCGTCTTAGTCTAGTTTTTTCCCGGAGATTGGTACACGAATGTTTGCGAGGACATTCTAAGTCAGTTTGCCGAAGCCTCAGGGTCCAGACTCCAACATCTTTGCTTTCAAGTCCTTACTCGTAGCAATTGGGCTTTGGCGCCAAGGATTCGCCTCCGGATCCTTCTTTGCAGCACCTTGTCCGCTTTTTGCTGGTATGTGGCAACGAAGTGCTGACACTCTCCAACCTCTTCACTTGTGCTGACCACATTCTGAGTTTCCAAGTCAGTTGAAGCGTTGGATGGAAGATGATGGAAGACGGTTGCGAAACTCCATTGCACTAGAGACATACTAAATTCCTCATGAGCTAGACACTGAGGAAGCTGGGCATGACCCGGATACAAGGACGTTCGATCTCATTGAATAGACATCACTCAGTAAGAGCATGCTACACTGGCAAAATAGACAGCAGAACTGAAGGCATCATTCAACCAACACTTTCATTGTCAACTGCCACGGCTTTCAACACTTGTCCACCAAATTCTAGAAGATTTACAGTTCTGTTGGGGGGTCTTGTTGAGGACGAGTGATTGCAAAGACTGCGCAAATGATGGCCTGATCCTCAGAAACGCTCGAGAGGGTGCTACAGTGCTGATCACCTGCACATATTTGGCTTTGGGATTAAACCATCGGAAAAAAACATGTCCTAAAGCCTTCGGTTTGTCTCTAAAGTCTGACTCAAATTTTAGCACATAGCACCTTTGCTTCCCTCAACTTCTTCATGTCACAACTGCTTTATGTCTGAAAGAAGGTGGGCGGTCTTTATATATTCGTAGGTAGTGGCTTCAAGGCAAACCTACTAGAGGTAAAGGCAGTGCGTTATGCATTTCAATGTTCGTATGTTTTGTCCAGACAAGATTGTGTTTGCAAGGTCACTCCCTTCAGCGACCAGTCGTGCGTGATGTACTCGGCCTCGGCCTCCCAGAAGCGTCAGGACGTCGAAGTTCTTTGGGGTTGACATCTACAAAATGCCATTTAGGGACCCATTCTATAGCGAGGGTACCGTCGATGAAAAGGCCAAAACCTGAAGAAGGTATTCTGTAGAGTGGTCAGTTTCAAGTATTTTCTACACGATGCTTTGTAAACACTTCAATACTCTAATGGCTTTGCCAGAATGTTTCTGATGGCATGAGCCTTTTGAGCAGGATGGCGTTCATCAGCCTCCGTTGGCATACCATGCGGCATGTTCAGACTTTGCAATCGAGTCAGATCCTGAGAGCAGAATTGTCCGAGTCAACTGAGTTAAACCATATCAAACCTATTTACACAACGCGCCTTACCAAGCGGGCAGGAGAGGTTTGTGAGTGACGTAGCCAGGTGCAAACGAACTATAGGCATTTGTCAGTCCTATGGCAGTTGGTACAGTGTGCTCCAAGGTTGGAGGGAGCAACACCATTGCAGGCGAACTCCGCATTGGAGGATTCCGGCAGAAGTTTCCGCGTCGTTGTGTGGTAAGTGAGTGTGATAAGTGTAATTAATAGTAATTCATTTGTAATGTATGCGTATGTATGCGTCGTGATTTGTGCGGCATCACTGCCATAATTCAAGCAGACAACAAAACAAATGTTGTTTGTTGAGTCTATGTTCATTAAATGCTGTTGGTCAGAAAATCGAATTCACAAGTCCAATTTTGATGGCAGGTGTGGGACGGTAGTTATAATGATCACACCGTTCCAAATTTAATATAGTTCTGTAAAGGTTTCCCCGTGAAAGATGACCACCCTCACCGTCCCAGATCTCCCCGTGTTGGATTGTAGCGGGAAAGGATTGTAGGAGCCCCTAGTAGCTTCTTGTTCCCCTTAGTAAGGCCAGGAGCCCCTAGTAGCGTCCGATCGCTCCTAGTAGCGATGCCAGGAGCCCCTAGTTGAACATCAAGAAATACGTTTGTTGTTTGGCGAGTGCATATTGGGTGTACAGATGATTTGCAAAACATACAATCTAGGAGAGGGGGCTGAGCCTAAGCACAATAGCAAGTCTTTTCAGTAGGCCTTGGTTTTTCAGAAAATATATACTTATTTTTTTACGACGAAGCCGCTACTTATCTCGGCTTTTCTCTTGAAATGCTGTTTTTCTTGAAATCTTTACTTTTCTTGGCCTTTCCTAGACATTTCTGTTTTACACAATTTACAGTATCTTAATTTCATGAATGACTGGTCTGTCTTTTTCTCATCTGTTTTCAGAAGACGTTTTTTCTAGACGTTTTCTAGAAATCTCGACAGCCCTGCCACTGCAATTCGCAACCCTCCATCGGTTGCATTCCCAGAATTGCACTGCCCTCAAACGAGCTACGTTCGTAGCGTCCTTGCTCCTAGTAGCGATGCCAGGAGCTACTAGTAGCTTCTTGCTCCTAGTAGTCTAGTAGTAACAGCTATGCCGGCTGCCAGCGCACTGACAATATCCACCGTCCTAAACCTTTCGACAGCCACACCCTGCAGAATCCACGAGCACACTGTGCTTAGTCTGTAGTTATTCTGTCTCTTCAAACACTTCCGACAACTGGCATCTTGATGCACTTGTTCCTAGTAGCTTCTTGCTCCTACTAGTAAGGCACTT